TAATACAATTTACCTTAATACTGGTAATTTACACATCTTAACGGCCTTAATTTGCAAGCCCTGCTACCAATATCGGCATAATGCAATTATAAAGAAATTAACCCTAATGCCCCCAGACAATTTACCACTCCAATCTTTAAATCTGTGAACAAAATCCTACGGTGTTACCATTCAAATGAACACTCTTTGGTAGAACTTTTGCTCGGTAAAATTTATTTCGTTTGAGTTTACTAAAAGAAATTTAATTGTTTTAGTGAATGTTTTTTTAGTCCCCTTTAGTATTGAAAGAGTTTAAACTATTTTAATGATTACATAACTCCACACGCTTACTTTTTGACCCTCTGACGAAACAGAGTGGCTACTTGCACAATGTGTAACAGTTACAATGTATTTGTATCTGTTGGTATGTGGTCAGTTTCTGAAACGCGCTTTCTAAAAGTCACTGACTTGATGCACTCCCAAAATATCGTTGCCGTTTTAGATGTTGGGCATCAACTGCCACTTGACATTAAACTGTTGTTACTAAATATAGATTCATTCGCTGATAACACTCTTTATAGACTAAAAATAATTGACAAAACTCAACATAAGAATACACACAGCACCAAACAAACACTGAACTATCTGGTGGATTCTTTCAGAGAGTTCTGCGTGGAAAGCCAGTTGAACACGCAAATGGCTTTCTCTTTGTTGTGGTCGAAATTTGTTTCTGCGTTTCTGATAAAATGTTCCATAGCGTTTGTCTGTTCGTCTTGAAGATCCCTTTACCAACTTATTTGGCACGGAGATGAGAAGCGTCTTTGGTAGTTCGTAAATGGATTTGTTGTGACACTTGTCTTAGTTTCAGCCAGGCTAAGCCGCCTTGTAAATCTTGTCTTGCCAATGGCTGTTAGATCTCCTTGCCCATTTAGCAAGCTCTGTTTCATTCCGTTTTTTAAGGGAGGTAGTTTAATTTCGTTTTGTGACATGCTGGTACCCTGTGAGCTTAACTCTCTGTTACCTTTTATTATTCCTTGATTGCTACTGCTAGGTGAAGTCAACACAGGTTCCCATGTTACTTCTAATTTAGCTGGAGCGGTTATTCGCCTCCGCTCCAAGCTTGGCCTTCTCGTGTTAACACTAGGAGCTGGCGTTGATGCTCTTCGAACCAAAAGCCGTTTTCTGTTTATTGGTGCATCGTCTGTTTTGTTATCCATTTGTCTGTATCTTTAGTGAAGAGTCACGCGAACAACGACTCTCAAGCTACGGTATGAAACCAGCGGGGTTCAAAAAAGTAATTTCTTGTACATGTAACGGTAGCCACTGTAGCTGTGTAAGCTTAATTTCCTGAAATGTCTTCCCAAACGCATGTCATCAAGTGATTGATATGAATGCTAACTATCGAAACCGGAGTGTAAACCATATCACGCACACTTCTCACACGTTCTCGAGTCATTAGTTGAGGCATTTTGAGGAGCGTGGAATCGAAGGAGGAGAAAAATATACCCTTGAGGTATGTTATTCCTTATAAATGATCGGAAAAAGTAAAGGCTGTTCTTTCTCATTAACATTTTTCATTTTCGGAAACCAAACTGAATTCCTGCATATCACGCCTATTTCACGTGCCATGAGCCATACAGATCTCCGTCACTATTGGTAGATTCAATGTGAGGAAAGCAGAATCTGTAAATCTTGAAAATGTGTATTAAATACAACCTTTTTCTGTGTTATACCTATTACAGATCTCCTTTACAGGTGTTGTGGTATTACGGATGCCCCTTTGCACAAACGAGGTTAAAAGCTGTTATGTTAGTTACAATAATTGTAACTTATGCTTGTTTTTCCTCATTTCTTTGGTTGGTTGGGTTGCTTGGTTGTTGTTGCTTTTTTCTAGAATTTTCCACCGTCTTCAACTTATTTTTTGTTTGATTGAAATGGATACCTAGTGTTGCAGCCCAGGAAAAATGAAACTGAAGGCTGAAGAAAACTACAAGTTATGAATTCAGCCCACAAAAATGTGAAGTATACAAAGTCTGCATTTATAAATCTAATCGTTTCTTTGCCACTGTTAGAGAGGTAAAGCAACCACGACGCTAATGGCAACGGGAACTTAAAAAAGTAATAATAGGTTTAATGAGCAATACAGCGACCCTGCACAAGCATGCGGCAAAGTTTTCTTTGCAACTTTTTCTTGGTCGTCACTGCGACTACAACGTGAAACTTCACAGTGTGCGTTTTCATAGAGGGCGACTAAACAATAAAAATAAGTAAACTTTGATATGCCTCCTTAAAATACAACCCCATGAAAATTCGCCTGTTTGACCGACTGGGCGATTTAATGTAAATTTAAAGGAACCTAAATGCACTTTATTTTAAGAGTGACGTTTTTGCTGCCGTCGCTGTTGTAGTTGTGTCGCATGGGGCTGCACATTCGGAGTCACTTATGGGTACAATTAAGTAAAAGCAACAACGAGATACTGAAACTTGTGCCCTTGGTAAAGTAACAGTGCATATCATACTTTGCAGTATATATGTTGCAGTTCAATTTTATTGTTGGTGTAAAAAATTTCCCTTTGTTTTTAGGTCTGGTCATGCATGATAATGAGTTTGAAACAAAGGAAAATAAAATTTCAAGCAAGGATAAAATTGAAAAGCAACATGTACAGTAAAGATGGTAGGGAGCAGGTCTGTTGCCCAAGGGGTTTTACGCTTGTCTGCTCTACGGTGACCTTCTTTGTCAATCGCCCCTTGCCTCTGACATTTAATTTACTCAACATTTAAACCCTGGTGGCCTTTCCAATATCTTTAAGCCGTAATGTAACTAATAAAACAAACGAACAGAAGAACCAAAACTTAGTATCAGGTGAAATGGACTTTTTAAATAATTTTCTCTCTTTATCCCCCTTAAGCCTTTTAACAACCAAAAATTAGTAACAAAAGCCTTGCTGCTATTCTGATACTTTTAATTAGTTTTTTTAATACATCTAAAAATTGCTTCCTTATTACCCCCTGAGGCTTTCACACTTCGTAACATGTTGTTGTCAAATGTCTCCAACACGAAATGTTTTGATAAGTCGTAGTCGTTATTAACACTGCATACCTAACTCTGCCATGTGTAAAGAGGCTGGCACTTTATTGCTTCGCCTGCCTAAATGACCGTTAAGTGGCTTTTGAATACCAAAAATCTACCAGTTTGTGTGGAGACTGGGGGAAATAACATGAAATTATTTAAATCGCAGCTTATGAAACGTATCTCTAACGTTACTAAACATGCGTACGAAAAAAAACTAAACCAGTCCCTTTGCCACTGCAGCTGTACTCCAGTCGCGTAATTTCTGTTATTTAGGGTAATGAGAATTAATTTACTTCTAAGAGCGACTTTACGGATGCATTAAGCTGTGGCATCCATATATAATGATTTAAATGTTTTCCCTCCCGCTCAACTTAAACCTTAATCGAGTTATTAAAACTTCATAACTTAGCTGCTATTGCAGACTGAGGTATTTTTTTAACATGTTCGTCCACCTAAATATGTAAAACAACTTAAGCCGAAAAAACCGTTGGCCATGCTGTTATGAGCAAGGGGTATTTCGAAATATGCGCTTACCCTAAGGTATGAACTCACCCAGTTTAAGACAATTTGCGTAATTGCAGAATTAGGTCTAAAGCTGTCTAATTTGGTTTATCATGGATTGAATTGTAATTTGTCAACTTAAAAAATTCTTTGACTTTGGCTTACACTGAGTCGTTTTAGCGACAGACACATTGTTCCCTTATTACCGTTCTGGCTTCACACATAATTGAAGCTATTTGGAACATTACATGCCCTTAAACGGTCACACCCCTAATTAAATAAAAACATTCTGCCCTTCTCTAAAAAAAGACACGAAAACTACGTATTATTGTCTATCTCTGACCATCCTGTTTCCAGAGTATATTCACTGGTTATCTGTGACTAGGTGCTGCCCTGTTGGCCAATTTTGGATCTCATCCGCCTAATATTCCATTTTTTTTTTCTGCGACATGACGTCAGAGTTGTTGTTCTAGAGATGGTAATAAGTGATCGTTCACTGATGATACATAATGCTAAGCTAACCCTTTCACTGTCAAATGTAGCCAAAGGCAAATTTCGACCAGATTTCCAAATTTCATTTTGTAAAATTTTGAAAAACAAATAGTACCATGTGTAAGTACAGGCAGAGGGCTTTCGTTTGAATGGTCACATCATAGGATTTCGTCCTAAGACTCAAAAGTTAGAGCCACCTCACAAATTCCATCGAACACTCTGGCAGTGAAAGGGCTAAAAAGGGTACTAAAACAAAATTTTTGTAACGATAACGGGACAGCCAAATTAAGTAACCCATCATTCACTAACGCAGCTGTTGGTCAATTCATAATGTTGGCGGAAAAGAAACCATGACAGTTTCAATAGGAGACGTAAAAAATATAACTCGCGCAGTGCTTTTGACTGTTCCTCAGGACGGTCGTTTCTCCACACAAACTGAGACGGCGTGGAGTTGCGTCGTTGGTAAGTGTTGTGAAGCTTTGCTGTCAGACGCCTGTTTTCGGGCAGATTCACGGTTCGCTCAGTAAGCTTCGTCTTACTAGACGTGTTCATTTTTCTTTCCCCTTCTTCAACATTCCTCTTGATTCGTCCTTCTATACAAGGTAGCTTGATTTCATTATTTGATGAGTTGCTGCGATGCGATGTGAACTCACTGGCACACCTTGAAAATTCTTGACTGCAGTTGGAAGGTAAAACGGGCAGAGATTCCCAGGCGACTTTCAATTCAGCTGGACCAGGGAATAGACTCGGCTGCAAGCTTGGCCTTCTTGGTCGAGCTCCTACAACTGGTGCTGATGCTCTTCGTACTAAACGCTTCTTTTCCATTTGTAACTCTCCTTTATTTTTGCCAGTTCACGACAAAATGTGGATACAGCATGGATTCAAAGTAATCAAGATTATTGGCCAAGGAACCCATAGAATTCAGTTATCTTAAATACTGCACGCAAAAGACCGGCAAGTATAGTTGTTCCGACCAGCTGTGATTGACAATGCACAAATAACAACTGTTGCGCATGTGGACTGACTACCAATATAATACCCCCAACACATGCAACGTCGTGTGCGAATCACGTGGCACTACTTCACGAGCAGAAACTAACCGGCTGTAGCTTCTCTTTCTCTAAGGTTTAAAGCTTGTTTGAGACAAACATAGGCAAATATTTTTTAACATACTACAGTTGAGGAAAACAAATTTTCTTTGAATTTTCATTGCAAAAGTTCACTATTTAAGAAGTGACATGCACTTCAAAATTTTGTTCACGGGCTTGAAGTCGTTATGTAACAAATAGTAGGTGTGCCTTAGGGTCGTCAGAACGTATGCCCTACAGATACTCTTCTTAACCTCAGTAATTAATCAAATTAAGTTGTTTGTTTGCTCAGTGCTTATTAGAGTAAAAGCTATTTCCAAAGTCAAGGTCGTGAGTTACATGATTGGACTTTCAAACCCCGTTGAATATTCAATTGCGTTAACAACAATAACCTCACGAGGTTCAGCCTGGGTGAAGAATAAGAGTTGTGAGCCCACCAACGTGGCCCGAGTTCGAGTCCAAGTGTTGTCGTCATGTGTTAGGTTGAGTTCGTTCTTGGCTCTCGTCCTTTGTCTGGAAGATTTTTCTCTGAGCACTCTGGTTCCTCCGCCCCCTTCTTAAGGTACCAGCACGATCTGGAACGCACGAAGGAGTTCTAAGTCCTCAGTGTTTCGTGTTTGAACAAGTTACACTGCATTACAACTAATGCTACATGTCGCACGAATTACAAGTTTTAAAGGCGCACACAATTAACCTTTCGCATGCAAAATGGCCTTCTCGTGTCCTTACAGCTCCCTATTGATCAGTTTTTGTCCGCATTTCTCGAAGAACAAAACGTTGTACGTCCTTTACAAACCGGAAAAACTGTGGAAGTTTCGCAGTTATTTGTTCAGGTTCCCATTCTCCGCTATTGAGCAACTCGTCCCACTCTCTGCAGTGCAGATGAAGATCGGTCTGCAAGAAAGTTAAGGGAAAAAAAATAGGTTAATAGATTGTAACAACGAGCAAAGAAGAATATATCACGACCCTATTAACAAAATCAATGGACAACTTAACGCCGTTGGAAAGTTCTGGTTCGATGGTTCTCTATTTAGTAGGAGACGTAGGTACCGGTAGTGAAGTAAACCTAGGGCATATGTGTGCGTCCATGTATGTGTTGTTGCTGTCATCTACTAATCTGTTTTTTTTTTTGCAATAAAAGTGGCGATGAGGGATCATGAGTGATAGAGAAAGCACTACGAATCTCTAAGCAAGGTGAACTTTTTTACAGAGCCTTAAAGATCTGGTCCATCCTCTTAATGAAGTACGGTCAACTCTTTCTGAACAGTAGCCTGTATCGCATAGGTAATTTAACCTCAGTTAGTATCGTCTGCAAAGCAGCGCTGAAATCCTTGTTCTGTGCCCCCAATGGTCTCAACGAATTACCGGAAGTGTGTTTCGAATTTCCGTTCATCCTGATTGGCAAATGGACAAAGACTTTTTTAACAGGCCAATCATGGCACGGAATCAAATCCAGGTACACAGTTGGGGACCCAGAACAAGGATTTCGGCGACGTTTCGCAGACGGACTAAACTAGAGTTAAGTTTCGTCTGTGGTGCAGGCAATCTGAACGGGTATCACTTATCAGAAAGACACCTCCCTAAAACGGACCATTCGATTTGGTCCCTGCCCTTCTTCGTTCACTTGGTGTCCTTCTGAGAGAGTTGACCAAAGTTCGAAATACATGTTGAAAATATGCTCTTAAATTTATACCAATTCCCTTGGCTCCTCCATTGAAAGATCGCTAGGCCAAGAGCTCTCCTTGGAAAAAGTAACTGTAAATCCTGGACAGATTTCGTAACGAGATCTTTCAGAACGGCGATTGTGGATTAAGTGAAATCCTTCAGGCGTACCCCCCTCTGGGAGGCAGATTTCAAAACCATTTTCATCTTTTAAACTCAGTCTACACAAGTATTCTGATAATGCTTGTCTTGACTCTCTATCAGGTACATAATCTGCAATTAGTGCGCTATCTAAGGATAGAAAAAAAATACAGTAATGTTAAACTTATGGTAATTACCAACACACCTTGAAAAGGGTCATCTGGACAGCGTGTATAAGGTTGCGGATTCGATTCCTGGCCAAGTCTCGGGTTGGTAAAGTCTATTCTTGAGGTCGGGTTGTTTGTCCGCCATGCTGGTACGGTAACCTGCACATTAATGTCGGGACAAAGGGTGGCTACGACATAGGTTTCCCTCTCGTTATACAATAGCTAACGACAGCTAAACTGTACTCTCAATAAATATTCAAAGTAATTTTAACCACTCAAATGTCATGAAATAACGATTCCACTAAAACCATCAATTAACGATTCCACTAAAACCATCAAATAACGATTCCACTAAAAGTCTCATATGTTTCTGATCATTACGATTATTTTAGCCACCTTTTTTAAATGTTTCAATTCAAGTCATACCCATCCGCCCACGAATAGTGAGCCTGCAGTCAAACTCACAACCAGGAAACAAAATATCTGCCTGCAGATATTTTCTAGATGGAAGTACCAGCCATCCTCGACACCGTGATCGCGTAAACTCGTCTTCAAAGTGTATTTCGTCCAGGATGTTCTTCACATCATTAAAAGGAATTGGAATGTCTTCTAACTTTTTACGAGTGTTGCTCCTTGTAATCCATATCTGTAAAGAAGAGCAAGGCTTAGGGAGGTAGCATGACCGAGTATCCAGCGACAAAAATCCTCGGTCACGCTTGTATATGACCAACTGGTTGCCTTCTGCCAGTTGGCATTTTTAATCCTATTTCGTTATATTCAAATTATTTCTTTGTTATTCGAGCGGAGTGCCTGTAAATTAAGCTAAGTGCACGTTCCACTATATACAAACCTTACACCTTTCTTCAGGTTTGTTTTTGGATTGAAGGTCTTTTTCTGGTATTAAGAGCGATCTTAGTAACCCGGTAGAAGCAAAAAGGCACGGGATGTTCACAGAGGAAATCATTGCTGGCAAAATGACAGAAATTCCCCTAGGCACTAATTCTCACCAAACAAGTTTTAGAATCATTCTGTTTCCGTTCCTCTATATGGGCGATTAAAGCCCAAGATCTCTTCCGTTGTCCTGGCAGAGGTTTTATCTGCAAGGATCTGGTCCTAATTGGACTAGATGGGTCAGTAAATAGGTAGATCCGAATTATCAAATGTCAAAACCTAGTATAGTTATCCAATCAGTGGACAGAGTACAACATGCATGACCTCGTGGCCCTTGTCAAACTAAGATAAACTAAGTTGGTATCCCTTAGTCGCCGAATATTGAATGGGAATGGTGAAAGTCTGTGGTTCGAGCCTAGGGTGCAATTTGATGTATCAAACAAGTTGTCCCAACATCATTCAAGAATGATGATCACGTGGTGTACGATGATCAACACGTGATTGATAGTTAGATCTAACATTCGCCTGATAAAGACGACATTCATCCAAGACCCATCCAACACTGTTGGATGGTGTCGTAAGAATTACGTCAAAAGAAGGATTTCAAACGCATCCACTGACATGCTGCATGCATCAAGCAATAATTAGAAGATACGATATGATATGTGGGTTGAGTTTGTTGTTGGTTCTCTCCCTTGCTCCGAGAGGTTTTTCTCCGGGTACTCCGGTTTTCCCCTCTCCTTAAAAACTAACACTTTCAAATTCCAATTCGATCTCGAACGCACGGACACGTTTCAACGAGTTCTTATGAACTCCTTAGTGATCCGTGGGTAAACAAATTACAAATTACAATTTATTTTTTGGACGAATGTTATGTTCAATCAACTGGAGCCCTTACCTACCTTGAATCGTATTTCATTTCCAAGTGGCATTAAAAAAGTCAAGTCATATCTTGCCACATAATCCATGTTTCCGTTCGTAGTGCTTTCGCGGGAACTGATTCCTTTCCAGGTTTTTTCATCCAGATCAACTCCTCCCTTGAGTGAAGTTCTCCATGGACTTCTCTCGTTGTCTGACTGAAACCTCTCTACTACCTCTTTGATAGTCCACTCTCCTTCCTCAGCTTCCTCTGACAAAATAAAAAAGTACGTCGACGTGACTGTAGGACTGCAGATTCAGTAACCATGAGTTGTTTGTTTGGTTAACGTGAAATTTCTTTGTATAACTTTGCAAGCAAATACAACCTGCAGGGGCGTAGCTACCTGTACGCACGGTACGCACGTGCGTAACTGAAAATGTTGAGGGTCAGAAGAAAAGTGAAATAAACAAGTTTTAAAAACGTAATAAAAACGCAAATGAATATAAGATAATTATTTTAAAGAGTGATCTGTGTGCAGCGCCCCTCACTCACATGGCCAGGAGTTATGCAAAGTTATAAGGACACAAGGAAGTGTTTACATCGCAAAAAGTTTCAACTTCTGCTATGCAGGATAAGTTTGGGACACCAAGACCTCATCTAAAGTCAAGGCACCTTTGAAATAATTTTGGACCTTGAGGGGGAGTTAGCGGGAGAGAAGGCGAATCAGGTGGAGCAGGCGGATTTGGAAAATTGTGCGTACCTCTAGAAAATTCCTTGCTGCGCCGCTGACTTTGAATCGTTTCTGATTTTAAACATCAAATAACTTTTACCAAGCACTTAGGAGGTGTCTGAATTTTCAGTCGCGTGCTATAACGTCTCTTTAGACCAGAAAATTTGATCCGCGCTACTGATCTCACTTCACGTTAGTCAATTTTAATTCAATGTATGGCTTTATCGGTACATACACTTAATTGGAAGGTGCATTTGAGACATGTCTCATTTTCACGAGTCTGCGTGCATGTGTTGTAGGGATGACTGAAACAAAGCGGTACCTTCGTCAGGTCCCCGGATGTTAGCTGTCCCAAAGTGACACCACATATCAGCCTTAGGATATTCTTTTGTCTTCATTTGCTGCTTTATGTTTTGAAGAGACTCCAAAGCGTCCACCATAAGCTGTGACAAATAGGGTGGGTCGACAGTACTAGAATTGGAGGACACCTAAACAGGACAAGTTTTATTTATTACAATTTAATGGCAATAAATTAAGTGATGGACATAACAATGATAAAAAAGGTTATAAGGACGATTGGTAAAAGAGTAACAGCGACCCTATGTAAAAGAAAAATCCCGTTATTTAAAGTAGATTGTGAAATGTATATATGTAAAATATTAGGTAGGAAAGTAAGTAAGCCGCCTCCGTGTACTGATCTGTTGGACAAGTGGGCAGTAGCAAAATTAGATGTGTGGAGGCTAAGTACAATGTTAAATGGACTGGTTTTCTAGCCTTACAACCGCACTGAATTCTGCAGCTTGCCATTGAAAAGGCTGGCTGTTTTATCTTTTTTAGTACAGTAATTGTAATAAAAAGATTAAAAAACAGAGAGAGAGAAAAGCTAGGATGAATGTAACTCCTTGTACTCCTTTAAGAAATGACAACTTACATACGTGCAGTACACAAAAAATAGTTTAGACTGGGAAACTTAGCTAAAATGTGATATTAACAACGCATGGCAAAGTAACACAAAAAATGCTTGCAAACCTGTGGCCCATCGTGATCAGACGGTATAAGCCTGTACTGAGTGTCCCAACCTGGATGTACCGTACGATCCTTTTTCGCCAAGCTCTTCAGTTTAACTTCACAATCCTCAGGGAGATTCCAGTCATCAATGTAGACACAGGGCTTGACGAATTCGTTTTCTAAACCTCTGATTATTGCTCCAGCCTAGAGACAAATTTTGAGCGCTGTTTCTTGCAAACTGTTTTACTAGCTGCTATCTTCTATGGTGTGAATAGATTGAAGGCCTGAGTTCACCTCTAACTACTTGCCCGAGATATAAATTTTTCTAAATAAGCGCAATTAAGGTATTCCAATGTACTTACTATTGCTGCTTTAATGTGCAGTCTGGCCTGTTCCTTCTGTTTGTCGGTGCCACTGACTATGTACACTTCACGATCTTTGCGAATCAGTTTTGCTCCTGTCTTCGTGCTGATGAAATTGAGGTTGTATCCCCCTGAGCCCATGACTAATCCCTTGAATTCGCGTGGAATGTCTACTAATTCTCCGGGGGGAGCGTTTTCTTCTGATTTTCTCCTCTGCATTTGTGCCAGAGAACAAATTAAAGCGTAAACTGTTTATGAGTGTTATTTTAAATACTTTCTGCAAAGCTTAAATGTACCCATATGTATAAATAGTCGTTAAGTCAGTGGGCTAATCCTAACAGCTTGTACGTACGTATTCGCAGATTGATGATTTTTCTCTCCCATGATAAGTCAAAGGAACGGTACGTTTTTAAAGGCATTAAACCCTCATAAACTCGGGAAGTATAAAACTACACCGGGACGAATCTGAACGGTAAAAGCAAGTACCTTGAACGGCGGCATTGAGGAACTTACAAGACCGGTACAACTTTAGATGGGTCTTCTTACATGAAACTAGTCTGGCAGAGACCCTCATCTACAATGGCAGAAGCAAGTATTAGCAGTGAGAGTGATCTTACGTCTTACTGGTTTCGGGTTCCCACCGGTCTCATGTAATCAGGGCCGGATGTTTGCCGTAAAAGACAATTTTAGCTGACAGTTCACTCGCCCCATGTAAGGTAATCAGGGACAGTCTTGGATTCTGGATTCCACCTTGTGGATTGCGGATTCCAGTTACTGGATTCCGGACTCCTCCTCAGTAGAACATGGATTCCGGATTCCTTGAGCTGGGTTACGGATTTCAAAGCCTAGGATTCCCAATTCCACAAGCGCATATGTTTTGGATTCCGGAATGCCGATTACCTTACATGCATGGGGTGACTGTGTTCTCACCAATCTCTGTTCTCTGGTTTGTGTTCTCGCCGGTCTCAACAATAGATCTCTTTAGCTTGCATGTTTTGTTGTTCCAATACGGGTCATTTGATAATACTCTAGAGGAATGTTTCTTTCAAATTTCGTCTCATCCACGTGTATATCTACGCATAATTTATGAAAACACTAGGAACTCTATTGGGAAAGCAAAACACAAGCCAAAGAGGTCCATTAAGGCCTGATGTTACAACTCACCACTATTTCTCTGATACATTGTTTAGCATGTTGCCTTTGTTCTTCTGTTCCGCTTGCCAGGTACACATTACCATCTTTACGTATCAAATCTGCTCCTGTTTGACTGCTGATCTGTCTGAGATTCTCTCCTCTTTTACCTATCACAAGGCCTTTGCATTCACTTGGAATTTCGACCAATTCAAAAGTCTGAGCTATCTCTGATTTCTTGATCTGTAATTCGTGCTGTAGTGGAAAGTACGAAGGTAATTGTTTTGCGTCCTTACGTCTACCCTATTAAACCCGGAAGTATGATATTTGTGCACGGTGCTAATCAATAAGGTTTAAAAAGAGGCTGACAAGTAACAGATTAATGATCAATATTGCACTTCACAAAAAGCGAAATGTTTTGCTTCAGTCAGTCTAAGTTGTAGATCTGCATCCTTCCATTTGTCCTGTAAATAGCCGGTTTTTAACTCTGTTTTTGTTTTATGACGACTTTTAATCGAAGTGGATCCAGAGTTTCGTTATCTCTGTCTTTTATATATTACTGATTTCTATACTTTTGCTGATCTTGTGATTTGATAAATCATACTCAATTTATATGTTCGCAATAAAAGGAAATGGTCTACTCAATCCATTTGACACAGAAATAATATTCTTACCATGTTATCATTACACATTGCACTTACCACTTTCTCTAATATAAGCCTCTTAGCATATTCTCTTTGTCCAGCATCACCTTTGACTAAAAACCCATCGTCCTGCCTTCGCGGTGATGTGATCTTCGCGCCTGANTACTGGATTCCGGACTCCTCCTCAGTAGAACATGGATTCCGGATTCCTTGAGCTGGGTTACGGATTTCAAAGCCTAGGATTCCCAATTCCACAAGCGCATATGTTTTGGATTCCGGAATGCCGATTACCTTACATGCATGGGGTGACTGTGTTCTCACCAATCTCTGTTCTCTGGTTTGTGTTCTCGCCGGTCTCAACAAAAGATCTCTTTAGCTTGCATGTTTTGTTGTTCCAATACAGGTCATTTGATAATACTCTAGAGGAATGTTTCTTTCAAATTTCGTCTCATCCACGTGTATATCTACGCATAATTTATGAAAACTCTAGGAACTCTATTGGGAAAGCAAAACACAAGCCAAAGAGGTCCATTAAGGCCTGATGTTACAACTCACCACTATTTCTCTGATACATTGTTTAGCATGTTGTCTTTGTTCTTCTGTTCCGCTGGCCAGGTACACATTACCATCTTTACGTATCAAATCTGCTCCTGTTTGACCGCTTATCTGTCTGAGATTCTCTCCTCTTTTACCTATCACAAAGCCTTTGCATTCACTTGGAATTTGGACCAATTCAAAAGTCTGAGCTATCTCTGATTTCTTGATCTGTAATTGGTGCTGTAGAGGAAAGTACGAAGGTAATTGTTTTGCGTCCTCACGTCTACCCTATTAAACCCGGAAGTATGATATTTCTGCACAGTGCTAATCCATAAGGTTCAAAGAGAAGCTGACAATTGACAGATTAGTGATCAATATTGCACTTCACAAAAAGCGAAATGTTTTGCTTCAGTCAGTCTAAGTTGTAAATCTGAATCCTTCCATTTGTCCTGTAAATAGCTGGTTTTTAACTTTGTTTTTTTTATGACGACTTTTACCGAAGTGGATCCAGAGTTTCGTTATCTCTGTCTTTTATATAATACTGATTTCTAGACTTGTACTGATCTTGTGATTTGATAAATCATACTCAATTTTTATGTTCGCAATGAAAGGAAATGGTCAATCCATTTGACACAGAAATAATATTCTTACTATGTTATCATTACACATTGCACTTACCACTTTCTCTAATATAAGCCTCTTAGCATATTCTCTTTGTCCAGCATCACCTTTGACTAAAAACCCATCGTCCTGCCTTCGCGGTGATGTGATCTTCGCGCCTGATGACTTCATGATCTCTTTAATAGTACACCCATCCTTCCCGATGACGTAACCTTTCAGATCATTTGGGACGGTCACAAATTCACCCTTTGTTGCCGCTCCATTTTGTTGGAGACGATTGTAAGCTACTCTGTGAAGGATGAGAAGTCATGATCATCACTGACCTCAGTGCAGCCTTTTGTCAGACTGAGAGATCAACTGCCATCAAGACCCTTTCATCTACCGGCTTACAGTTGTGTTTTCAACCCAACCAATATTTAAGGAAATATCAGCAATCGACACCTCAATTACGCTAGGTGACCTAAACGGTAATGACCGAGTCAACTCGAGTCATTGTTGTAATTTATATTCATCTATAGTATATTGAAGACCAGTCATTCAGTTACGGTGTATACTGAAGAGAGAGAACTTTGCCGCAATAACAGCGCTATCTGCAGACAGATAAAGCTTTTAATGTGCAAACTTACAAAAAATTAGCAAAGTTGTAATAAAGTTGTAGACAGGATTGATGGTTTAAGGTTTTATTTGTGCCTCGACAAGAATAAACTAATTTTAGATATGCGCTTGAGTGTCCAGCTCTGATTGAAGCCGTCATAAAAAAAGTTTTTTCCTAGAAATTATTACTCGGCATTTCAATTCTTCAGCTATACGCTTTAAGAGCTTACTTTTAATAAAAACTGCACTTTGTTGACATCGTTGTTTCATATTTATATTCAGTGTAAGTCTATTCGGGAGTGTAACGATGACTGCAGACTGTTTCAGAGACATCTTTTCAGATCAAGTAGTCTTTGAAATAGGTCTGGATAGTACTTTGATGAGAAAAAATCGAGGCTATTTTGTCAGTCTGTCATAGAAAGGGTTAGATCTAATAAATACTGAAAAGTAAGCTCAATGCATATGAATCCTGAAATTTGGTATCAGCTTTTAAAAGCCTTACCCTCCTCTTCCACCGTTCGATCGCTGTCCACGGCTCCCCATGCCTTACCACAGTAAATCCTTTCAGATATCACATTTTACCTTCTGTGAAATTATTTCATTTATGGTTCGATTCTGATAAAATCTTAGCAAACGTTCGATCAACGAACACAATACCGGAAGTACTTCCGGGAAATAGCTTGTCACCAGTCTCTCGGAGACACTTCTAGATCTGTTTCCTCATTTAAAACAACGCATGTCCGTTTCAGTCGCTGAGCACCTCACTCCTCCCTCTCCCCCCGAAAACATTTGTTTGTGTGTGTGAAAGCAAGAAAATTATACACTTTCCGACGCTCGCGTAAAACGTATGCTTTTCTCGGCCTTAATAAAAGAAACTCAAAAATGGTTAATAGTTTAAGACTTCTTGTCGTATCAATTTTAAAGCAAGTAAACTCACCTACGATTAAGTCAATTTTGAGATGTTTTAGTTTGTTTTTGTTTTTATTAAAATGGAAGATCTTATCTAATCATACATGTAATTATCTTTTGCTTTGTGCACTTGCTTTAGCCTCTAAAATAGAGACCCAAATGCTGAGGAAATGAGGAACACCTTTTCTCAACCACAAGACGAAACTCCTCTTTTACTTTTCTTTACAATGTGTCGGCTATAACAGGAAGCTCACAATCACACAAAACTTTATAAAGATCTGCTACAGTCAAATGACGCTGATTTGCCATATAACCAATTAGAGCATCAGCTGGGTTCAGGGTGCGGTTGTCAAGAAAACGAATTTTTTCTTGATCTAAACCCAGTCTCTCAGCAACCAGCTTCCACTCGTCTCCTCCTGCAACACAAAAAATATAAGGGCTCTGTCAAATTAGAAAAATCCATCATATTAGGAGCCATAATCGGGGTAGGAGACCCTAACTGGATACCTCTTCCATTAATGCAAAATAGGCTATTTTTAGCACAAATTACGCCGTCTCGGGTGACACGCGCGCGCATTTTTGCGAGGGCTATGTGCAAATGATACACAAACAAAATGGCGTCGGAAATTACCAACGTAAGAGATGAGTAAATTCCATTTCTGTCTGGGTTTGAGGCAAGACCTGAATATACAGACTGTGAATGTGATTTTGTTGATGTTAATCACCGTAGTGAGTGTTTTTGACAAAGACGGAAAGTGACAAAAAAGATGTCGGAGATGTCGTGCGATGAATATCCCGTTCGGACGAAACAAGAAAAAATGCGGGGAAAAGGAGGGCAGAAAGTTAACAACAACAACAAAAATTATGGCTAATTTTCTTCAAATATATCCTTCAATTCACGATACAAGAATTTTCCCATTAACATTATCCTTGATAGCGTGGCGCAGTGGTCTAAGAGCGGAACCTGTAGATGGTCAAGGTACGACTCTCGACTAAGGTCTTTTTTTCTTTTTTGATAATTTATTTTTCGTTTTTGCTTTTATTTATTTATTTTTTTTGTTTTCTTGTTTTTAGGATACCTCATTGTTCCCTTTTGGCTTGCTTACCTTTTTTCTTACTGCTGGCTAATTAGATCTTCACGAGGTTTTTGCGATAAATATTTTGTATAACATTGGCTCATTCTTCCATTGTGAATGTATTGTATATCGAGATATGAAGCACTAAGAAGGTTGAGAGAGCCCTTAAAAAAGCTGTAAGATGATCGCCCCGCATCCCCTGAAATTCCACACGAGAGCCGCACAAATTTGCGGGTTCGCGCACGAGTTTGAGGCGTTGAGGGTGGCGCAGTTTGTTCTAAAAATAGCACAATAATATATCTATCTCGATGGAACCGCGAGGATCCCGCGCTTGCGGTTATACATGCGGTTATGGCTCCTGATCATATGCATGCATGCATGTATACCAAACACTTTCACCGATGCGTTAAAAAAAACATAAACTCTTCATAGGCCATGAGAGAAAATCGGGAAATTGTACTCTGATCCCTTGGTTAATCGACCTAAAAGAAGGCCGCCCCAGTTCTCATTTGCTGGACCTTATATTGTCATGTTTGAAATGAGGAGGCATATCAGTCCAACAGATATATATTAGGATATTTAAATTTTAATTCACACTGAGTGAGTAGGTGAATCAGTAAAAACATTGAATTTTGGTCATACCACACAATGCGATGGTAAGCTTTCTTGCCACTGAATGAGGAATTTTTCGCACGTCAAGACTGTCTTTCATCAAAGGACCTAATGGCAAACAAGCACATTTAACATTACGACATATCCTGGTGCACTGGTGGTTAAGATAAATAAGAGATTTGAGGAAAGGTCAAACGACAAATAATTGGTAAAAGTATCTCGGTGGCCTATTACTCTACAAGCTTCCACAGAAGTAATTTAATTAATTGTTACTTCATACAGATCTTGACGCCAAAGTTCGAAAACATATTTGGTTACAGTACCTTTTTCCTCAGTAATTTAACGAGACAAACCCTAGACTCACCCGTTGTTCCTGCAGGTGTTATGTCTCTTAACTGCTTGATAACATCGGACCTGTCTGAGCATTTAGCCTGCCTAGCCAAACAACGAATCTTCCGTTTTGTCTGGACATCTGGCTTTTTCAGAGCGGACTCGTCCAGCTGAAGGGCTTCTTTAAACTGGAAAACAACTTCCCTGGAATCACAAGATCTCGATATAAGTGACTTCAAGACATCCTCAGGAAGAGCCACCGATTTCTCTTCATTTCCTACGAAACGGAATACGATTATAGAATGTTATACGTTGTGAGGTTAAAGTATCTATGATACTAAGATGAATGTATTTATCGGTGGATGGCTCAGCTCTTTGGTGAACAATATGAAGTAGGAAAGGTCATCGACGGTCTTATATATAAGGCCCTGTCCACTCTAATGCATTTTCGTTTGAAAACGCATACATTTCGATGCGTTTAGGCCTGCCGTCCACACTAATACCCTGCACATGTGTGTTTTCGTGGAAAACGCATCGATTCGAACACGCTCTTTAAAGTGGATCGAAACGAAAACGCATAGTCGTATTGGTGGGTCGAAAACGCATCAAAATGAAAACGATGACCGAAAATATAGTAGGCGCATGTTTTTGTAACATGTGCGTCACAACGTGAAATTCTATCGTTTATGAACGTTTTAGTGTGGAGAGTCCAAAACGCATCAAATTGGTAGTGTGGACGAGAATCGATCGATGCGTTTTAAATTTGTAGTTTTGAAAACGCAAAAGTGTGGACATGGCCTAAATTGAGTCCAGTAAGGCGCTAAACACCCATTGAGTAGTATAAATATACTATTGTTTAGCAAATAATAAGATTGGAGGGATTAAAAGGAAGGCTAGCAAATAACTCTGTTATACAGACTCGCCGTTACACTTTTCGGGAAAAACTCTGATACCGAAGAAAGTGTCGTAGACGTTGTATCTGTAATTTTATCAACAGAACCAATTTTAAAATTCGTGATGTACCCAAACTGCACATTCTACCACTTCTGTATCCTAAAATCTATTCGACTCATAGCTGACTTATCGTGCAACTCTCTGCCTGACCACAATTAGACTTCTGGGCTTGTGCAAATACTCATAGTGACTAAGATCTCAGGAAATGGTTTGCTTATGCAAGAAACTTATGCTTGCGTTTTCATAACGTGTATTCAGACACGGTATTGCTAATCAACAGTATATTGCGTTGGAAATGAAAACCGTCATGCCGTTCAGTTTACCATGAAAATTCCTGTGATAGGATCAGCATATTACCAAGCCTTTTGGTAATTTAATTCTTGAGAAAACAATATCTTTCTTATCTGTAGGTTTACTATATCTCAGACTCGAAAAAAAAATCGTTAATGTGAGATATCAAATTTCCGGTTGGAAGGGTAACTTGGACGAGGTCCTTTTCATTTGTGTCCCTTTTACACGCGGTTAGGCATTTAAAGATTTCATTTTCTGGATTACTACCTTAAAATATCCTTTTATTAAAGCACAATTTAATTGTTGTTCGTATAGACCTACCTTCATCATTCCACACGAGCCTTTCATCAGGTTCGCCGTGTACCTGTTGGAGATTTATGAGAGAAATTCATTGCTTTCTGAGCTTCAAAACCATCAAAACGACACTTTTGCCCTGTTAAGGATAAAGTCACGGACGTCCCTGAATTCTACGTTGCCCAGTATGCTGGAAAAAATTAGTAGCGTGCTGTTTGAAAAAAAAACTGAACGTTGATGAGAAACAATTTTCTTGAATCATATAATTACTTGCTGTTTATGAGGACTGTAATGCCATGTCAAAAAAACGATAGCACATGAATTCGCATGACCACTTGATGGCAACTTTCACTCTGCGTTGTCAATTCTATCCTTACCCGTGTTAACGTTTCTCAAAACCTTCTCTACCAAGACAAAAGTAGAATTACACTTTTACTGCCAAAGGAGGAGGACTACCGCCATACAGACAGTTGTTTAAACCGGCAAATAGGGATAACAGGCACTTTTAACTTAAGTATGGGCAAGAGCCATACTTGGTAAGGGCCACTTGGACAAACACTTCACTCTCCTTCGGCGCAGAACCACATCGAGTTGGAGTTGTTACAATACACCGGGCTCAATTTGCGAAAATATTTCTCAGTTGGAGCGGCTAGACGCGTGCATGACGAAGCAACGATACATTGAGATACGTATAGACTTAGTATCGATAAAACTTATACCGTATGTCTCTAATGGTCATTTGATGATTATGCGTAATAGGGTCACCCAGAAAATGAAGATAGGGTTCCCCTGTATCTTAAAGTTACTTACATACTGCTCTTCTGAGGGAAACCACGGAGCGAACTGCATCACCTGAATACTGGAATTATTGGCGAAGGCTGATCTGGAGCAAACCAGGTCTTTTTTGGAGCGGAACAACTCGGCAAGTGTCAGGAAGTGAAGGCACTGCTCTTCTTTGCAGTATTGTATGTTATGAGCCTGACAGTATTCAACAGCTCCTCGCTTGCAGCAGACTGTACAGATGACAGTCATTTCATACTTCATACTTCTTAACCAGAAGAACTCATTGCGCATGCACTCAAGCATCAATCCCAACTGCTCACTCACAGCTCGACAACAGGTTAACCCAGCAGTGTCTTCAGGGTGCAAGTCTTCGGACTGTGATAGCTGCGACGACACACTCTCAGCCGATCCAAGGCTACAATTTCCTCCGTGAACTACAATTTCGACTGTTGAAGAGTGGCAAATCAAAATAACCGAGTAATCATCTCTAATGGTAAAAAACCTGGCAAAATTACGAAACAAATGAGGATTCCCTGGTTTCCACAGTTTTTCTTTGCCCCATTGGAAGAACTGAATTACCAGACGCGGGAAAAAACCTAGAGGGACTTGACCATTCTCGAATTTGATAAAAAGAGACGGAAACTTTGCGGAGGCAATCAACTGAGACATTTTCGCCGGTGGGGGCAACTTTAACATGGAAGGTACTAGGTAGCTCTTGCCGTTTAAAGGATCTGATGGCCAAGGGCATAGCAAGCAAAATTTATTCATTATTTCGATAAGACTGTCGCACGTTTCTTTTTTGTTAAACAAGCGACCCCATACATGTTCTAGAAGTTTCTCATCCAGAATTCCGTCCCGTTCCAGCTTACACCAAAGTTTCAAGTAGTTGTTTTCTCTAGCGTCATGAGGTTTGATAGTTATCACCTTTTTGAAAACGTCAATTAACCACCGCGGATTCAAGACTACCATTTTGTTCAATTCTTCAGTGTCTTTAAAATGAATTATGCTTCTCAAATCATGTAAATAGTCCATTAAAGTGTTAAACTGGCCGTCATCAACAATGTTACAAGCGTTTCGTCCAAGAACTCTAGCGGTCTCCAAGGTGATGCATTTGTACCCCTTTTCCTTCGCTAGTTTAAGGACCTTCTCGAATTTCAGCCACTTGACTGGAATGACTTCGTCTATGTGAGGTAGAATTTTAGCGACAGCAAGCACCTCCTGCCGCAGACGTACAATTTCTGGGCATTCGGAGTTATTGACCTTCAGGCTTGTGTTGTCCACGACGAACACGTCATGCAGCTGGCCACCATATGGCTTGTTCTTCAGAAACCCAAAGATCTCGTGGGCTACTTTTTTTGGATTACGACCATCGTAAGGTGTGTCTGCATGAGTGCACACTAAGAAGACGGGTGGCAGCGTTTCTGGTAGATGGTCTGATTGAGGGCTAGCATCACTTTCACAGCTTGTGAGTGAGGCCACAGACATCATCCAGAAATCAAGATAATCCAAGTTAGTTTTGAGACCGCAATTTTCTAGGACTTCTTTGTAAACACCTTGCTTTACAACAGGCTTGGCTATGCCTTCTGGATTTAAGCTGAGATCGTACACTAAGCAATAAATTGCTCTTCTGGTGAGGAAAAGTGGGTGGGTCACATAGTAAACGGATTGTCCAGCAAAATCCCAAAACGTTGAGTAGATGTCTTCTCTCCCATCATTCAGATCACCCCGCAGAAATGATTCAGCTACAGTTGCTACCTCTTCAGGAACAGCTGAGGATGGGAAGTTAAGGTCTTCATTTTTTTTTTCTGTTGGATGAGATACATGTGATATATTTTGCCTAGGGGTGGGTGCTGTATTTTCGGATGTTTGAATATGCTCAGAACTTGTTGGCTGCTCGGCATAATGGTGTTCTCGTGGTACGTCATTTGTTTCTATATCAATGCTATCCTGACTTTCCTCTGCATTCGTCGCAATCTCTGTGTTTTTTCCTGTCTCCTTTAAACTAGCCATAATTTGTTCCGTCATAGTCAAAGCCATGTGGTAGTCAAAGGAAATCATTGTGTCCAAATCCTCGTCCTGAGTTTTCTCTCCTGTCTTCCATGTCTCAGTGGATACACTGAAATACGAAGGATCGACCTCTATTCCAACAGTGCTGTCTTCATTTGGGTCGAAACAAATCCCTTTCAACGACTTCTTTAAGCTTGTTTTTCCTGCCCGATCTTGTCCAATAAGCATTATTGGAACCCTCTTAACTGAAGTCTTCCCACCTTCAAGGGCTTTTTTATAGGCTTCCAAAGCAGATGGACCCCTTGCAAGAATCTCCGGTGGAGCTAAGGGACAGAAAAAATATTTCACTGAATTTACCAGATTATTTATACGTTTAAAAGACAAAAACACGAATTCCTCATCGTATATTACAACTCCAACAAGGCCAAGGCTAACTTGCACATTCACTAGCTTAGTATCACGATAAATACTCGAGGTATATAGTAGGTAATCTGTTCCCAAGGCCTTATTATTCCGCGGGGCCAAAGCGTTTCGGGTCACGTGGTCTATGCGAAAATGTAAGGCCGTTTGCCGCCCGTTCGCCTCGCCTATGTCACCGAAGTGAATTGACCGATAGCGACTGGTAAAACGCCGAACAGGGACTAGGTAAGTTAATCTGTTAGATACTAGTGGTGATTTGTTAAGGTCTCTTTACCAGACACACAAATACTCTCGTCTTGTGGTCAATTAGATGGTGATAAGGAAGAGGCGGAAAAGACGATGTTGTTTGAACTTGAACTCAACATTCAATTTGTCACTTGTTAATGTACTAAGTTTTGACTAATGTGTTTGATAGAGTTAACGTACTTGTTTTTCTCAGTTCAACCATGTTCATTTCATAGAAGACATGCCCTTGCACTTCCATAACGAACTCTAGAAACTCAGGTAGCTTCCTTACTATGGCCTCTGG